AGCGGTTTGAAAGACATGCCGGTTGTGTGTGCACACGTGCCCAAATACCCCAAGTGGAGAATGCCGGAGAAGGAGCTGTGGTGTGGCCAGCCCCCCAGTCCTAGGGCGGGGGTGACTTCTCACTCTCTTCCCTCACTCTCTCTCTCTAGCAAGCCACATGTGCCTTGTAGCAAATTTATAAAATGGTTTTAACATAATACATAAAAAGTATTTAAATCGGGGCCAGCAGGTGGCCTGGTAGTTAAAGGTGCTGGGCTCCCACATGACTGACCACGGTTCAAGTTCTGGACCCAGCGGCTTGTTCCCTGGTCAAAATTGAAAAATAATAATAATGAATAATTCTTTTAAAAATATTTAAATAAATATTTTAAATAAAAGAAAAAAAATAAATAAAATCAGGATCCACAGATGAGTCTTAATTGGATTAAAAATTGGGAAGCACAGACATAGCCAATTAAGAAAGTCTATAAAATTCAGCATAGAAGTCCTGGAGAGCCAAAAGGAGCAACTGAAGAGCAAAATGGAACGGATTCATCTCAAAAAGCTAGCATCAAGTAAGGGGCAGGCCAGGGACACGCAGTCAGACGCATGGGCAGCAGGCGGGCCGGGCCTGGCAACGCGCCGCCGTGGTGGAGAGGTGTGGGCTTTTCTACTAGTAAGGGGCACAGGTGCGTCATTCCGAAAGAGCTCACGGTGGGCAAGATGGCAGAGGAGGGCCTTACGGGAGGGGGACAGGCAGAGGTGGGGGAGGCCCACTGACAGATGCCAACTGGCAGCAACAGTGCCCGTTGAGCAGGACACATTATCAGTGGGAGGGAGCCACAAACCTGCAGTTACCTCGGAAAGAATGTGGCAGCCAGCCATGTTAGCCGGCGACTGGTCAGCTGGGCCTCCTCCTCGAGCTTCTCTGGTGCTTAGCCCCACTTCACACACACACACACACACACACACACGTATTTTTTTCCTCTAAAAAAATGACCAGAGAGTCTATGTGCTTGCCAGAGAGAGATAGGGGGAAAAAGCATTTAACGGGCATGGTCAGGCCATAATCCCTTCTCCTCCATATCTCCATCCTGTGGCGATCTGAGTGTTCACACACACACACACACACACACACGTGCCTGGCACGTTTTCAAGACATGGGGGCTGGGGTTTGAACTGCGGACGGCCACGTGGGGTCTGGTTCCCCTGGCTGTAGGGTTGGCCTTCCTGTTTTTCCTTTATTTTTTAACTTACAAAAATTTGGGGGGTGGGGTCACTGATGCTATGGTGGTGAGGATGGCTAAATCCAACATGGCAACTGCGTGGTTCAAGTCCCAGACCTGGTAGCTTGAAAAACATGCCAGGGGTGTGTGTGTGTGTATGTGTGTGTGTGGGTGTGTGTGTACCACCAAAATCTCAAGAGGAGAATGAAGAAGGGACTGCCACATGGCCATCCTCCCTGGGGGGTGACTTCTCACTTTCCTTCTCTCTCTCTTTCTCCCTGGCAAGCACACATGCCCCATAGCAAAAACAAACACAAAACTTATTCTTTAATTGCTAGAGGGCATGTGTGCTCCCCAGAGAGCAAGGTAGGGAGCGAGAGAGAGAGAGCACCTTCCAGTCAGTGCCACAACCCTTCATCTTCCACTCCTCTAGCCTGTCAATGTCTTTGGCACGCTCAAGCAGACGTACCCAGTATTTTCCAAGGTGCTGGGTCTGGAATTCCAACTTTGGCATCATGTGGAATCTGGCTCCCATAGCAATGCACTTAACCAAAAATTGGTTGGGGCCTATTTTTTTTCTTCTCCTTCTTCTTTTAATTGCAATCTTTTTTTCTGGGTGAACTTTACTTACACAGTCCCTTGTTTTTTAGTAATTATAAGGCAACGACCATTACTCATTATGGGGTCTTTTTTTTTTTTTTTTGGAGAGGTTTTCGCTATAGAGAGAAAGACAGAGAGATAGAGACAGACAGAGAGATAGAAAGTGAGAAATCACCCCCCCAGGGGGGATGGTCACGCAGCAATCCCTTCTCCTCCATTCTCCTCTCGGGATCTTGGGCACGCACGCACACACGCCTGGCATAAGTTTTAAGCCACCGGGCCCGGGGCATGAACCGCAGTCGACTACGTGGGAGTCCAGCAACATAGCCATTATGCTAACTGCTGGTCCCCTCATTATGGGGTCTTGAACTCCTTAGAGAACGTGCTAGAAACGAAATCTTTCTTCAGAAGAAATGCACACAAGCTGGAAGAGGACATTTGGCATGAGTTCTAGAGGATTTACAGGCTAGAGGCTAAAAGCTAGGGTCTTCTTTTCTAACCTGTTAGGTCACTTTAAAGTAAATCGCATGCGAATGGACTGAGTGACTATGTCATCAACGAACATGACACTTGAATGTTTGCGTGTATATGTGACTTTCATGGGAAAAAACAAAAAAGCACTCTTCTAGAAACCTAGTCATCAGCAATGTTTGGATTTTTAGGTATCAGTGATTAATTTTCTTCCTGGAGAGGAAAAACAAAAGAGCTGGCCAGCCACAGAGCTGTGGCCACACAATACTCCATGGTGCCCAGGGTACATGGGAAGGTCTGGGGAGACGTGTCCCAACCCTGGCAGGCCGAGGACAGGGATGGATCGTGGCATGTAGACCTTGTTGAGAGCCTGTCAAGAAATAAAAATAAACTTAAAAAAATGGATTTTGGGGACCAGCAGTTAGCATAATGGCTATGTCGCTGGACTCCCATGTAGTCAACTGCGGTTTGAGTCCCTGACCCAGTGGTTTAAAACTCACGCCGGGCTCATGTGCGTGCGTGCCCAAGATCCCAAGAGGAGAATGGAGGAGAAGGGATTGCGGCGTGGCCATCCTCGCTGGGGGTGGGTGGATGTGTGTGTGATTTCTCGCTTTCTGTCTCTCTGTCTCTGTCTGACTGGCGAGCGCATGTGCCCTATGGCAAAAACCTCTCAAAAAAAAAAAAATGGATTTCGTCTTGATTACAATAAGAAGCAGAGGAGCCATATTGGAATCAGAAGAGAAGACTTCCAGAAAGAATCTGGCTTAGTTCTCTGACTCTCTGTTGGTTATTTGAACACAATAAGGAACAGCGGTTAAGAGAATATTTCCATTCCGTGAGCGCAGGAATAGAGTAAACAAAAACCGTGGGGAAGGAGGACACAAGATGGCACTGAGAATTAGATGCGTGCTGGACCTGTCTCTTGTTTTCTGAGAAGGACCTCGGAGCTTGAGCGTCTTAACTTCATAACGTGGAGTAACCCGGTGGGCAGGGGTACAATGGGGCATCCCCTCATTTCTTAATATTCCTTGTTTTTTTAATTGCCAGAAGGCACATGTGTGTAAGAGAGAGAAAGCCATGGTCACACTGCAATCTCTTCTCTGCCATTTCTCCACCCCACCGGATCCTGCATCTGCACACACGCCCACCAGGTGTGTTTTTCAAGTCTCTGGAGCTGGAACTTGAACCACGGCTGACCACGTGGGATCGGTTGCTTTAACCGCTGTGGGGATATGTGGTTGGCCTTGTCTCCAACTTTTTGAAGTTTAGAACTGTTTTTCCCTGAAAATAAAACATGATTTTAAGTGTTCATATCTATTCCCAAATGTGAGTTGTCAGTCAGACTTGAAAATACTTTTAAACATGTCCTTGGCAGCCTCCAATATTCATGGTGACCTTGATACTCCTCTGGCCATATTTGGGACCAGAGCCGCTCCCACTTCTACCATCAGAGAAATGTGGTCCTTACTGACGGCAGCTGTCCCCCTCACAGGGGGCAGTGTCCTCCTGGTCTTTAAAAGGATGCACCCGTGGTCCTGTGACAGCATCGCGGTCTGGTTACCTCATAGGGCTTACTGCCATATGTGCTGGAGAAACCCATCCAAATATGTTTTCATCTGATTTGCATCAACAATATCTATTTCCGAGGATTACATGTGGATTATCCATAAATATTCAGAACGATGTTCTTGTGGATCTTAATCTTTCTATATTTGGCTTAGAGTTTTGTTTTCTAAAAAATTTTCCATTTCCTTTCTCCCATTGAGCAAAGGATTCACCCTGGTTTAGCCCTGGATCTGCTGTATGTGTGATTTCACTTTGGCTCAGCACAGCCGTGGGTTATCCCAAAAAGGGGAGTTGTACTCAAAATAGAAATACCTGCTCCTGCATTGAGCTTTAAAACTGAAACTATGAAGTAAATGAAAAAAAGATGTCTGCATGTTTCATTGATGAAAATTCCTGGAAAGTTGTACTCTCCCCCCTTGTCTTGGCTAGCCAATCGTTTAGAAACGGCAGGTTTTACCAGCATTTGTATTTATACACCCTCGAGTTCCAATGTGCTAAGTACTTCAAAGCAAGACCTGTTATCTCTAAACAACGAAGACGGGAAAACCGCCCCCGCGAGGTCCAAAGGCCCAAGGTCCCCGACTCCACCTGACTCGCTGTTGCCAGTGGGTGGATGGCGCTAGGCACCACCTCCAAGGCTTCAGGTCCTTTCTGGCTGCCCTTAGGCAAGGCAATTTAAGGGACAGAGGGAGAGGCAAGCCCGAGACTAGGAAATGAGCTAAGTCATCGGCTTTTCGTCGCCTTTTTCGGAATGACCAAGGGGCAGCAGAGACGCACCAAAGGCGCCCTGGTGCGACCGGGCAGGGGCAGAAGAGGTTCGGTCGCCAGCGGGGCGGGGTGCGTAGAGGTCCCAGCTGAGCGGCCCGCGCTGCGCTGGCTGTCGGCTTTCGCTGCGGGTCCCTTCGTACCAAGGCTGGGGACCCCTTGCCCGCTAAGGCGGTGCGGCGGCCGCGGCCGGGACCCACGGTGCCCTGCTTGGCCGCGACCCGGGCTCCGCGGGGCTCGGCCCGGAACGGAGGAGCCAGGCTCTCTGATTGGCTTAGAATACAAACGTAGGCGAGCGCCGCCTGAGACCCGCTTTTCGATTGGGTTCTCCTTGAACAGCAGAGCACGAAATAAAGAGGCCTTCAGTCATTGGGCCATTGTGTGAATCTCCTTTTGGCTTCTCTGCCGCCTGAATAAGCGTCTCAGGATCTTCGTCATGACTCTTAAATCTGGGCTTGTCAGTTCGCTCCAGCGTTTCTCGTCTCTAGGCACGGCATGGGGCTTACAGGTTTTAACCAATCATGTACCGCCGAGGTCGGGTTGCCAGGCAGATTATGCTAATGAGGCCCCGCCTTTTGTGCTGCTCCCACTCTGCGGCGGGAAGAACCACCTGGAGGTGGCGGGGGGGTTTGATTTCCATCACCCCTAGGGAGAGAGGATCGGGGACCCGCTGATCTTCCAGCTCCCCTCACCCAACGTCGTGTAAGTACCTAAAGGATTAAGGGAACCGGATAAGCCCGGGTCCGGAGTACCCCGGCGACTGGGAGGGTGTTTCGTCTTTGCTTAGTCCCACCCAAAATGGCGCCCAGCTCTTTCCGCGTCTCAGAGCCCGGCCGGGGCCAACCGACCGCGGACCCGGGTGGGGGGGGATTGATGGTGGTGGTGGGGGGGAGAAATCCCGGCGGCACCGCCCGATGGTACAGTCCA